CGACCACCACGAGTCCTACCTCAATTGGGGGCTACTTGGAGTTGCCCCCGCCCATGGTTCCGTATTATTTTAAAGGTGAGACTGATCGCCCACCCGGGAGTTGTCCTGTTTTATTTTATTTTATTTTATTTTCCCTACTGTTTTCACTCGTTACCCGAGGGGTGAAGGCTCAGTAACCCAGGAAACCTCCGCCAAAGTGAAGGGGGGAGTTGGTAGGAATAAGGAGAGTTAAGGAGTGAGTAGGAAGGTAAGGTTGGTTTGCCTCCACCATCGGTTACCCCTAGACCCCTGAGCCGATGGTAGGTCTTGTATTGGCCCATAGAGAAGTAACTCTATGGGACACATACTTGCCACTTCTTTTTCTCACTTTTTCTCTCTCTTTTTTTTCATTAACTCCAGTCTTCTTGTAGCACGTTGTGCACCAGTTTCTTAAACACCAAGAAGTACTCTTTTTCTTCTACCCATGTTCTCTTTTCTCTTGGCCATTCCAATCCTTTTTCTCTCAAAGTTTTCATTGCGAAAAATCTTTGTCTGTCGTAGTTGACACAATCAAAGATTTTGCGGTCCATCGTGTCTATACTTCCACGCTGACACAGATCGTTTTGGATTTTTCCAAACCTCTTTAGGTAGGATTTGCAGTTACCATGCCCTGTTATCACCTGGCATATATAGAAATCGTTAGCAAAAACTTTGTTTTCTAACCTTTTTTTCACATCCGGGAAATATTCATATGTCTTTCTACCCATATCTGTTCTATTCCATTCGTCTTGCCATTTTTCCATAGTCCATCCTCTTATCCTTTTCTTACAGTCACTTCTTCCCAGCATCTCTATTTCATCACTTTCCATCACCAAATCCTCCATAACGATCTCCATTCCTTTTCTACTCCTCCATTCCATATCCAGTTGTATCAAGTAGAGTTTTAATGGGACTATACCTCCAATAACATACAGAGCCATTGTAGGTGATGTTCTGTAGGCTCTACACAGTTTGATCAGTAGTTTTCTATAGCCCTTTTCTAGATTCTTTATGTCTGGGACTTTTAAGTGTTTCTTAATGAAGGACGTCCCATAAAACATTGCCGAATTAATAATTCCTTTGAATATTATTTGTATGGAATTGAAATTGTATCCCCATGCTGCTCCTTGGAGTCTTACCATCTTGTTCATCCTCCTTTCCATTGCAACCAGTCTTTCTTTTATGTGCTTTGATATCTTCATTCTTTCACCAATTTTGATTCCCAGGTATCTATACTCTTCCATAAAATCGATCTTTTCCCCATTATATTCTTTGGCCTTCTATCTCTATTCATATCTCCTTTTAAGAACATTAGTTTTGTTTTTTCCTTAGAGATAGTCAATTTTGTTGCTCTCGTCCATTTTTCCATTATCTTTATGACTGACTGGAATTTCTCTTCAATTCTGTTTCTACTGTTTTCTTTGACAATAACAACCAGGTCATTCATAAAAGGATTGTTTCTACTTCTCTTAGGTTTTTCAACAGAGTGTCAAAAAGCCAGATCCAGATAAAGGGTCCCAGAACTGACCCTTGCGGGCAATCTTTCGACACTCTTTTAGTGATCGTAGTGCTCCCCTGTTGCATGCACACGTATCTATTTTTGAAGTAGTTTTGATTCATTCTGTATATACCTTTTGGGCAACGTTTGTTTTTTAGTCTTAGTAGTAAAAAGGGCCACCACACATTGTCAAAGGCCCCTGTGTTATCTACAAACAGTCCCACACAGTACCTTTCTTTAGTCTCATTCACCACGCCACTCAGTCTCTGCAATGCGTCATCCACACTTAATCCTTTCCTGCCACCATACTGATGTTCACTTATCACCAGGCCTCCCCATCTATCCATCTTATCTATAATTATTTTTTCCATTATTTTTCTCATTGTGGATAGCAAACAGATGGGCCTGTATGACCTGGCTAAACTAGGGTCCTTGTTTTCATCCTTTAGTAACGCAACTACCATTCCTATTTTCCATTCAGCTGGTATCTCTCCCAGTTTAAAACATGCAGTGATAATTTTCTTTAGATACGTTTTTATCTTTCTGTATCCATGTTGGATCATTTCCGTCAAAATTCCATCAACAACTGGTGCTCTTCCTTTTCTCAGTCCAAAGACCGCTCTATAGAGCTTTCCCTCCTCTTCCTGGACAAATTCTTCACTCTCCTTCTCTTCTATTTCTTCCTCATATATTTTAATCTTTCTCCTTATGTATTTCCTCGTCCTCCTCCTCTATATCGTCCGTCACCAGTCCACTTAATAGATTTTCAACTGCCTGTTTAATTATTATATCTTCTCCACTGTTACTGCCAACCGCATGCACTATTTCCCTTTTTTTCACCTTTTCCATCACTATTTTATATCCAATACCCCACAAGTCTTTTGTACATTCCTTGGTTAAATACTTCCTCCATGTGATTCTTTTCCTTTCTATTATATGTGTGTTATAGTTTGGTACGGCCTCCTCGTCTCGCTTTTCCGAGACGCTGGGAAAGAAGGCACAGTACACGAAAATTTCGGGAATTTAATTAAAATGCTTAAAACTGTAAGAAATTCTATATTGTTTAAATTTATTAGTACAATAGTAAGAACAAATGTTATTAAATGATACCTTGAATTATTTTATTTATGTTACCGGGCACTCGAGAGAATCTCCTCCTCAGCAGGTCCTTTCCCTATAACGTCCTGGACGCATCTGATCTAATTGGCCAATTTGCGACGGAGTCTCCTTTCCCGCTTAAAAAGGGAGAACACGCCCCCACTTCCACGGTCCTCGTGTCGCGCGATCTCCTGAGTCGTGACAAGTTCTTCAAGACTTCTTTATACTTTTTTCTCATTATTGCCTTCAGTTGCTCATTCTTTTCTCTTTGTACCTTCTTCCTTAGTTTTGCAACTTATTTTTTCTCCTTCTGCAATTCTCCTGTCCACCACGTTATTTCTCCTTTATTTTTCCTTTTGTTTCTTATTTTTTTCCCTGCACGTGAACACGCTTCTTTTATATTTCTTTCCATTTCTTTTATAGTGTCTTTTATTTGGTGCATGTTTTCCAGTTCACCTATATGTCCATTTTTCAAGTTTTCTCTATATTTCTCCCAGTCTATTTTACTCCATCTTCCTACTCCCTGCATGGCTTCCTTAACATGCAGTTTCCTTTTATTTACTTCAATTTCTATCATTCTGTGATCACTAGCTGTATAATCTGCCAAAATTTTCCAGTCCTTCACCCTTCTTGCGACTTCTCTCCCTGCTAGCGATACATGTGCTATGTCTTAAATTCTCAAAAGTCGTAAAGTCCGAACTTTTGTTTAGTACTGTTAATCCATATTGGTCTATGATTTCAACCAACTTTCTTCCTTTTTCATCTCCTACATCGGACCACATCAGAGGACTTTGCATTGGCATCCACTCCAAATATTATATTTTTATGCCCTACTATGTGTATTATTTCATCCATTTTTGTTAGGTATCTTTCAATAGGGTGCGAGAACTGGAAATACCCTGTAACAACTACAACCTCCCAGCTCTCCCACCCCAAGGCAACTGGACAGCCGAAGACTCGCAGCAAGGAAGGTCCGTGGGTGGCCAAGGCACGGGACCGAGCTCGCATCCTGGTGTCACCACCAGTCTCCTCGCCCAGGCCCGGCATGTTGACAACGCACCACTTCCCGACCAAGCCCGGCTCACCACGATCCGCAGAGCCAATCCTTATCACGAAGTTACGGATCAAATTTGCCGACTTCCCTTACCTACATTATTCTATCGACTAGAGGCTATTTACCTTGGAGACCTGCTGCTGATATGAGTACGAGCAGGCGCGGTGATCGTCATGGCCCTCCCCCGGATTTTTAAGGGGACCCGCACACTAGGTAGGTGGGGCGGCGCGGCGCGGAACCGACCCCCTAAGAAAAATACATTGAAATGAACGTAATGTCGCACACTAGGTAGGTGGGGCGGCGCGGCGCGGAACTGACCCCCTAAGAAAAATACATTGAAATGAACGTAATGTCGCACACTAGGTAGGTGGGGCGGCGCGGCGCGGAACCGACCCCTAAGAAAAATACATTGAAATGAACGTAATGTCGCACACTAGGTAGGTGGGGCAGCGCGGCGCGGAACCGACCCCCTAAGAAAAATACATTGAAATGAACGTAATGTCGCACACTAGGTAGGTGGGGCGGCGCGGCTCGTTCAACTACTTGCGTTACCTTTTGCCTTCCACACAGTGAATTAATGGTCCCCAATGTCTATCTATTAAGCCGAACTTCATTCAGTATATCAATTATCATTTTCATTTTATTTATTTTACTTGTTATTAATGATGTCAAATAGGAGATATCATAAGTTTAATTACATATCATACAATTGTGGAGCACGTTGGAATAAATAAACCTATTAAAAGACGACCTGACCCTGGCATGGGTCCCTGGGCATTCGGGGCAATAAAATGGTTGACATAATGGCCAAAGAGGGAACCAAGATGGACATTATAGTTCCCGAATCATATTGTGGACTAGTATATAGCCACTAAAGAGGATACACCTTAAAATGAATCCGTAATGTGTCCAAGGTTTGTAGGTTAATACCCATGCAGTATTATTAGAATTACCTAGGATTACTATGTATAAATTGTTAAAATAATTCATTGAAGATTTATCCAACTGGCAGATGTGGTGTAAAAAAATGAAAACCTATTTGTTAAATGGGATGAACACAAGGATTGTAAACATATTATAAGACACCGATTGTGTCAATATGTATCGTTGACACCATGTTAAAGTGACGAATATGGATTTCTCCACTTTTCACATTCGTCACTTTAACATGGTGTCAACGATATAAAAAAATGTATAAAATAAAAACATAATTAAAACTTATTATAAGTATAGGTGAAAATACAGCAGATTAGAAGCATTAACAAACATTGAGATGAATCTTTTAATATTTTCAATGCTAAAATAGATTAAAAATACTTTATTGAGCACATTGACATGAATTAATTACTATTTACATCCGTATTTTATGAACGGTTTCTAAAACAACTTTTTCAATATTCTTGAAGTACCTAATGAAAACATTTGAGTTGGTGTTTCTTGTCGGCCAGATGACGAATACATACATGATTGGAGATTTTGTCAGGGTGGCGGCCAGACTATGAACAACTCAGCAGTTCTTGACGTTTTTATTATTGGCGATGTTGCATACTTATTCTCGCCCTTCATCCGGCAAAACATTAGAAAAACCAAACATTCTAGAATAAGTACGAAACGTCGCCAATAATAAAAAAAAAAGTCATGAACTGCTGAGTTGTTCATTGTCTGGCCGCCACCCTGACAAATTTTCCAATCATGAAAACATTTGAGTCTGTTCACTTCAAGTAAAATGTCTGCATACAATCAAATACACGTTTGCAACTACAAATACCATAAAAGAAAGCGGATTTTAGTGAAATAGTAGTGCTGACGGTGTTCTGAGAGGTATGAATCTTTTGTGGCCGTCTTTTGAATTAATCATGAAATAATCCCTCCCGTTGATTTTCATCGCCGTTTGATAATTGGCCAGTTTGGTCTGTTGAAAAGTTGGGTATATTTTTAGAGCTCTTTTTGGTGCGAGGTCTTTCTTGTTCCAAGGATAATTTCTCTTGTCGCCGACGTACCAACGCCAGATTATTTCACCGCCGAAAACGGCGAGAGCACAGGTGAAACCGGACAAGACGACGACGTAAGTCGTGTAAAGGTCGGAATTTCTGAGCCTCCTCTCTTTGTTTCCTAGGTTTAAAGGGCAAACGACAGCGTCGGGGAGTTCAAGCCCTAAAGAATGCTTCAGAATTCCCGATTCTACAAAACGCTGAAGTCTGCAAACGAAAATGGTAACGTTAACATTTCCAGTGCGTGTTCTCGAAGTGTTCATCTGAAAAATAGAACCTACATCGGATTGAAGAGATTCGGCAGAACGCTGTTGTTCTGGTAAGCGAAGGCGAGAGATCGTATGAGAAAACTTTTGTCGGTAATAACGTATGAGCAGCGTTTCCTTTCGTCTTTCACCCTGGTAGACTTTTTTTTGTAATCGTTGTACATCAATCTTGTAACGGTATACCAATCGTCAAGATATAACCAGCCTGTAAAAAAAAATTCTTTCATATTTGCCCATTCCATTATTAAAGTTTCAAAGCACCGGTCATAATTTTTTGGCTTATTGTGGCTTCACTTTTCGTCTCTATAAACTGCGATCTGCTCGTGCCGAGCGTTTTCTTCAACGCGTTTAACTCTACGTCTATACCCTAAAACAAAAGGACGTTGTACATTAATGACAGTGACAGTAACAATAATTTCTTCAAAAACGTAAGAGAAAATGCAGCTGTTCTATCCTCTAATCCCCCTCTGACTTGCTTCGAAAGATCTACATGGACATGTACATAGCAGATTCGTGCAGACAATGGAAAATGAAGATAAAGTGTAAGTGTGTCCTTGTCACATTTACACTCCGAAGAAGAGTAAATCTCCTCTCACAATATACTACGAAAAAGTTCCCATCCCCGAATAGGACTGCGTTCATACCATGGGTTCCACCTTCACACACACACGTTCAGCATTTACGACTGAAAGGACAAGACCTAAACACACGCTACAATTTACTCTACGAACTTATAGAACGACAATCCAAAATATAAAAACAAACTTACATTTTACAAAACGCTACTACAACCGATTTGGACATACGGTATAGAACCGTGGGGCACCGTTGAACCTTCCAATATCCAGTCTTCAATCCTTTTAGTCAAAGTCCTCAGATCAATTATAAATGCACTGTATTATGTCTCCAATACTACCTTCCACAACGACCTTAAAATCCCATTTATCCTAACCATGATCCTCAAAAATTTAACCAATGATCTATCCCCATCACCCCAATAGTCTTGCCTAAGCCTTGACCAACATAACCCATCACTACAATCCCGCGTCTCAAGAGGAAATGGCCCCGCGACCTACTTTCTGAGGGGTAGGTGGTGAAGTTTAGTTAGGGATCGAAGTGGAACAATAATATTGATTAATTGCTTCCCACAATGTAAGTATGTAAATATATCTATATTCATGAAATTACATATTGTAACATTAAATATCAGATTATAATAAAATATTGGAAAAAAATGATTATATGATTATGAAATATCGTTTACAAAAAGTGAATCTACGTACTCACCCCGCCTTCATCATTTTTACTGACATTAAGGCCTGTTTCACTGCCGGATAGTAGGGTAATTGACGCCGGGTACAGGTTATTGGTTGGAGAAGTATCGGGACGTTTCATACCTGTCCGGTAAAAAGCCGGGGTGGTATGCGTTCCGGGCTGCCCGGGTATAAGTTGAGGGAGCCGGCATCCCCCTCAGCAAGGGCCGTCTGTCGTTGTTGGGTAAAGCGTTATACATATTGTGTCACTTTTGATGAACAACCGAAGTGAATCATCTTTGATTACATAGTTTCATCCAGTTATGTGTTTTCACTGCTCAGTGTTCCTCAAGCACTCGTACTGCTAAACAGTGAATGCGAGGGGGAACGTTTTTCATCGTTCACTTTCGACGTTCACTCTGGAGGCAATTGAAGATGAATGGCAGTTTACATTTGTCACTTTAGATGATTCATCTAACATGATCTTCAAAAGTGACAAATGTAAATGAGCCTTAAACGACCAAGCAAAAGTAGAGGTAGTTGGAAGTTCATAGAGGTTTTCACATACCCGGCGCGGCAATCGTCTGTAGTTCAAATTTTTCTTTTTAGAATGGCGTCGGCTAAAATGGCGGACGTTGATTTTGAGTTACTGATTATTTTATGTCCAGTTTTATGGGGCAAAACTCCAAGCGACTGTAAAGACAGAATGCTTACGCGAAATGGTTGCATGGGCATATTCGAAGAAATTAAAGATTTACTTAAAGAAATGGAAAAAAGAAAGAAACGAGTACGGTAATTATACTGCTACTTAATAAAATTTTACTCCATGATTACCTATTATAATATCTTATATCTTAAAATCTTAGATTATTTATATCCAAGTTTATAAAAGATTACAAATTAACAAGCACACCGTATTGTTGATGCTTTGTTGACATATTAAATCTTAGATATGTGAGGGTCAATTTCAGCTAGACCATTGGTTTTTCTTTTTGAAAAGTATAGAGAAAGACTGTCCACTAAAACTGCCTTCACATATGTGCCCAACTATGTAGGCTTGTTAAAATAATGGTTTGTCAAAATCAAACTAAAAGAAAAGAGAATGTATAATAAAATAAAAAGTTATAACGAAATTAGAAATGAAATAAAAAAATAAAAAATGTACACCTTTGAGTAAAGAGAAAAAAAGTATTTACTTTTTAAAACAAAATTTTTTAATTTTGATGAAAAATTATAATTTTGGAATTACTGGCTTTGACAAAAAAGGGGATAAAATGTATCTTCCAAAAAGGCACCTCGTGCAGACTTGAATTTTCCGGGGTCCCAGGTTTGCCGTTCCAAGATGGCCGCAAAATCTCTTCTTGGTGGACAGTTCTTACTACTCTTCTTCACTAGGAACTAACGATGATAACAGCCTCACACCAGTTGTTTGTCCACTATATCCCCTCTTTCTTCCACACCGCCTCCGGCCCCACATCGCACCTCAAGTCCTTTCTCAGGGCGAGACGATTCCCAAAAAAAAAGATAGTAACAATAAAATCCAATTTCGAAATTTGGCGAAATCGACGCAGATAAATGCCATTTTAGTGAACCAAGTGGCGTTATTACAAAATAATCCATCATCATTTTTCTGACGTTATTTGCTGACATTACACCTCGTATACTTAAAGTCACGTCTCGGTATATTTTAAAGTCCAACTATTTTCAAACTATTCCTTGCTTGGTAACCGTCTCTTTCGAGAACGAAATTGTGTAAAACACACAACGTTTAACGATGTCAAATGCAACTTCGGGATTTAGGTTTATAGCTCTGTGGAAAATTCTCCAATGGGACTAAGAATGCTCCTATGCGGGACGCCGGCTCCTTCTATGTGACTTCGAAGAACTCAGGTTATCAAGGTAGGGTATACAGAGTGGGTGTTGCCTAAAGGCTTACACACACGTGGCTATGCAGATCTAGACTCCAGCTGCCAGAAGAGACTGAGTCTCTGGACGACTCGAGTAACCCTTCGCCCTTATATGGGCTGTTGGCATAGTACTTATCTAGTGCCATTCATTGTGTACTCAACCCCCTATGCAATGTCTAGTGATTCTAGAGTGATGATGATATCATAAATCAGTATTATTATTACCGCCATTACAGAACGAGAAAAGTCACAAGGAAGTTTGAACATTACATGAAAAAGACTTATAAATTGTAGGTTATTCCTTTCAAGTGATAATTGTATAATGCAGAAAATTTCTCCACTTCTGCCACAAATTTTAAATTGAATATTTGTTCAATAATTTCCATCAGACGGTTTTATATTATAACCCCGAGGTACGTCTTTCTTGTTTTGTGATACATAAACTTCTCAAAAATGAGCAGAGATGTTTGTAATTTATTCTTATTCTATTAATTTAATTAAATTAACCGATATATTCTTGTTAGTTGGATAAAACAAAATAGAAATACAACCAAAAAACAAATAAACGTTAATCTTCATTTTTAATAAAGGATTTAAGAATATTAAACATGAATATTATTCATTTTGTAACCTAACAGCTTTGCTGGTCTTTTCTCCATTTTAATCAAGTTGTATTCTCTTTAGTCATGGAAAGACATCATCTTGAACCAGAAGTTCGTAATATTATGGTGAGAATGAGTCATCGATGTCATCGGCAAGTGGATATCGCAGAGGCAGTTGGCGTTTCTCAGAGCGTCCGAGAGACTGAACGTGCCAATAGGAGGCCTAGTACTGGCCTAGTACTCTCAGCGCATTACGACACTAAGGGAGAACCGTCTTGGCCTTCTTTGTTCATACTGTTCCTTAAGCCGTTGCCGGCTCTTTACAGTTTTTATTTGGCTTTCCAGCTTGTGTTGCTTTTTTATTATAGACGGAAGCTGGCAGAACGTAGGGGTCAGAAAGAGAGAGCAAAAGTNGGTCTAAGCCTTTCCATCTTCTATTTCCTTCAGTTTTCCGTAACCCTCACCAAGATATGTACTCGTTCCTAAGAACTAGGACGAGACCTCTCGGAATCCGCGGTACTGAAATGTTGAGATTAGGAGGAAATACCTTGCCGGCGGTTGAGGGTTTTAAATTGCTAGATATCCCACCGTGGGCATTACCTAAATGAAATAAAATAAAATAAATAGGTAAATAAACCACCAACTGCATTGCTTTTTATTGGTTTCTTCAATTGGTCAGTTTAATGGCTCTGTTTCGAAGGCTACGCAGGCCATCCTTTGTTACGCATGGTTGCACGCCACATTTTTGCAGTGGCTCGGTAGCCTTCGGGGGAGGCGATAGCTTCTCTTAGGGTGCGCATGTTGGCTTCTTCGGCACTAATTTCAAACAGCCACTGAGTGCGAGTTATTATATGTCGCGGGCACTCAAAAGCGACATGCTCCACCGACTCCACTTCACCGCACTCACACGCAGGGAAGGTCTTGATCCCGAATTCATATAGTTTGGCAGCAAAATCACCATGACCCGTCAGCAGTTGGGACATGTAGTGGTCTGGCTCAATATGCTTCCACTTTCTTCTGCAGCTGATGTTAGGGAGGAGGGCATACGTGTGACGCCCTTTATTGGAGGCATCCCATCGTCTTTGCCATTCCAGCTCTAGCCAGTCTGATGCTTCTTTCGCATTGGTGACCGGTATGCATGGGTTTATGTCATTTTGTAGTTCCCATATGGCGCAATAGTATCTGGCATGAAGGTCTACTGGTGGTCGAGCTGCCAAGACCTGTATAGCATCGGTAGAGGTCGTTCGATAAGCTCGCGTTAAAGTCAGAAGCGCAGTACGTTGCGCGCGCTTGAGTGTCTCCCATTCAGTAGAACGCAGTGCTCGTGCCCACGCAGGGGCCGCATAATACATGACTGAGTCACAAAGCGCGGAAATATACGTAGACCGGGTACGGTAGGAGATTCCCCACGCAGCACCGCTCAGCGCTTTGAATGCAGCTATCCACGATGGCATTAATTGCCTCATGTGTTGGGCGTTGACTCCAAATCGCATGCCTGCGCCTATGCAGACCCCCAAGTATGTAACAATCTGCGTGCGTAGCTTTGATTGTTTCACCGAGCAGGCGTACAACGGGAGGCGATCGTATGCTAGCTTGCCTTTTAGG